CTGCCAGTGAGATGCTTTAACTAATGAAAAAGGCTTTGAGATGCTTTGGAAAAAGTTTGGTTCTCAGGCATAGAAAATATTTATGTAAATATACTCTCTGCTCTTCAGATCTTTTTATGAATGTGCATTCAGTTCTGTGAAATGTATTTTAAAGCAGTCATTGGTATATGTGCAAAAGGAGGTTAACAAGGAAGATCGAATTCGTATTTACTGAGCAAGGAACTGTGAGTGGGCATTGTATTATGTGATGTGTGTGGGTGTTGACACTTAATGCTGTGAAAAGGTTATTGCTATGCCTGTTTTAGATAAAGAAGCAAAGGGTTATAACAGTTCAGTAGTTTGCTTAAGGCCAAAAGCTGGAAATAACAAAGCTGAGATTTGAACCTGGATCTTTCTTTTCCCAAACTTGTGTTCTTTCCACAGTATAGACGTGTCAGAGTAATAACCAACCTGGAAAATGGGCTAATTGAGGGACTGTAAGGAAAAGGAAGCATTCATCTTTTCAAAATGAAGGGAGTAATTATAAACATGATTGTTTCCAAATAGTCAAATCACTGCTACATATTTGGAAGACTTAGCTTTATTTTCTAAGACCCTAGAGGATAGAACTAGTACAGTAGTGTGAGTACTAGGAGCACTACCATTTATCAACCATTTCACCGGTAAAGAACAAGGAAAAGGACAGAATAATGATGGGATTCTCCCACCTTATAAGTGGCATACCCTGATCTGAAATCTGGGTCTGCCCCATCCCAGGGCTAATGTTTCTAACCATTTTTTTTCCATCCATTCCCTTGGGTAGATTTCCAATCAGCATTAGAGAAACTTTCCAAGTAATTAGAATTTCCCCAAAAGTAATGGATTACAAAAGTAATGGGTTCTCTGAGGGAGTGAATTACTTGTCCCTGATCAATTCTGACCTACAGGGATGCAGGGTTCCAGGTCTGGTGACCTCACAGATGTCTTTCTACCCTAAACGATTTTCTTTCTGTGATTCTTTAAGAAATAAGTTGACCTGTAGATTAATAGCCTAGGAAAGAAGGTATTAGTGCTGAGCCTGGCAACTCTTTATCACTTTGTCAACCTGAAATATGAAGATAAACTCATATCCAGTCTCTCCATGATATTGCTTATATTTCATTCCCTTTGAAAGGTTAGTAAGTTTATGGACTGAAGAATCTACAGGAGTTTATTGGTATGCCCTTAAAGCAAAACAGTTTTATAAGTAAGTGACAATTATAATTCTATGCATATTTTGAAATTAATGCAGGAAATCTTTAAAAATTTGAAGAGAGAACAAAGCCTTACAAAAATCTTAGGGGTCATTATTAACTGCTGTGAACTACTGTGATGCCCTATCCTTGATAATTAAGGTGAAAATCAAGAAGATTGACTGAGACACTTTTTGGAAGCAGGATCTGAGCCACACTAGTTTTAAGGATAAGGACAGAGAGGGAAGGAGACAGGCACATCTTTCCTACTTCCTGAAGCACCCACATCTCTCTTCCCTCCCCAGTTCTGACAATCCCCTGATTCACACTTTTTTTGGGGGGTACCAGGGATTGAACTCGGGCCTTTGTGCTTGCAAGGTAGACTGTGGAACCACTGAGCTAAATCCCTAGCCCCCTCATTCACACTTTTTAACACAACCAAGTAGTGGAGAATAAGTGTCCTTGGAATATATTTCTAGACCTCAAGAGTTGGACCTGAACCTTTGATTTGTTGATTTATTAATTTTTTGATGAACAAGGTCATATGGAAAAATTTTCTGCTTCTTGGTTGTGTTGGTGGCAACTTTTCTAAGCTCTAACTAGAGGACTTTTTGGTTAGCTAGAGGTTATTCTTTTTATAACTACACATTATGTTTCTGAGCTCAGACAGCAAGCAGAGAAGTCCCCAGAGATCCCCTCTCCAGAGAGAATGGCCACATCCACACACAGTTGTCATCAAAAAGCTGTGTCTGTTAAAATTAAGTTAACCTTAGCTAGCTGTTGTCCCTATGTTTGACATGCCAGTTCACATTCATCTCTGCTTATCAGTTTTCAATCCAGGTCTCGGTACTTAGAGTATTACATAATAAATTAAAAACTGAAAATCAAAGAGTTTTATGTGTGATGCACCTGAACTAACTGGAATTGACTTCCTGTGTGGAAAGTTAAGTGGCCTGGCATATTACCTTATGGGTGCTAATTAACAACAGTAAGAATGACTCCCCTGCCTCTTAAAGAAGGCACTGGGAAGCTCCTGTTTGCCAGTCACTGTGTGTACACGGGGGACGCCAAGATGGGGTCATTGTTCCTTCAGGGAGCTTCTGTGTAAACATCATAGTGTGAGATACATGCCACAGCACACGTGAGCCCAGGGTGGATGCAGCAGTTCAGGGTGCCCTGAGCCAAGTCTTAAAGGACACCAAGGTATTCACAGTGGTTGCAAAGACTGGAAGGCATATGCAGCTAGTCCTGCAGGCCTGAACAGGTCAGCACTCTGGAGAAGGAGCAGAGCAGAGCAGAGAGGAGTTTAGACTTCATCCTGAAGGCAGTTGGAAGCCTTTGGATGGTTTTGGGGACAAAGTGATGGATATAATTTGTGTCTTTAAAAATACCACTTTGCTAGCAATATAAGGAATCGGTTGGCAGTCACTGAGCTAGGAAGCAGAGAAGTGCACCATATAGAGGAAGTTCTAGGAATCCAGATGAAAAGTGAGAACTAAGGCAGCACCCTATAGGTGAGGAAAAAATTATATTCCTGAAATTTATCAGGGAGGCGCCCTGCAGGAAGGGAACAGTAGAGGAAAGAGTCAAGGATGTCACCTTGGTTTCTGATTTGAATAGATAGAGTGAGTGCCTTTTGTTGAGACAGGTCTTACGACCATGTTTGCGTGAAGAATTTAGAGGACAATGGTTAATTGGGATGAATTTACCTGAGTTAGCCTGATGAATCTTAGGCACATGAGAGACATTCAGGAGGGGATGTTTAGGAGGGATTCCTGGATGGCCCTAGAGTTAAGGCAATAGATGTTGTAGTAGTTGTTGGTCCATCCCTTTGAGAGGAAGACCGGCATTATCAAAGGCTAAGGGACTCTTTGGGCCTGATAACCTTAAATTAGCTGCCTTGGAAGCCACATTATCTATTTCAGGATCATTTAGCGGCTGTAGGCATGTGAGATGTACCAAAATGACTTCTAGGTGAGTTTAGCAGAGAAACTGTAGTCCCCAGCGTTCTTCCTAACGTTGTTCTCCTCTCCAGGCTACTTTTCTTTTAAATGTCCCTCCCAGGATTCTGGGGAGAATCTCAGTTACTAGACTATTTAGAGGCTTCATCAGTAAAAAGGCACTTAACTAAGTATTTCATATTCTCAACAGCCCTGAAAGATGTTTCTGTTAAGAGTCCCACTTAACAGACAACACAGCTGAATCTCTGAGGTGTCATACATAGCTTGCCTGGCAGGGAGTAGCAAGGCTATAAAGTTGTAGACTCTAAATCCAAGTCTATTTCTCCTACACAACACTGATTTAGTTTTTAGAAAACAACAACAAAACCAGGCCTTATTAAACCCTTGAATGAAAGTTGCCAGTGTTCCTATTGAGGAAGAAGTGTGTTGTAGAAAGGATGTGGCCCCAGTGGTGTTCATCAAGAGCAACGCTCTCTCTGGATCACCCAGAACTCATTCCATTGATGCATGCCCTACACTGCCCTTCCCTGCCTGTTCCCGTGGCAGTCAGAACTGGTGGCTCTGATGGTGCCCTCTTTGAGGTCCACTTAAGACTCAGCGCTAGGGCCTTGTTTATAATCTTTCTCTCTTCCTTCTATCTCTGTCTTTGTCCCTAACTCCTCAGACCCCAAGCGGCCAGAGTGATTCTTTAATCTTAAGAAAACATAAAGAAGCCAGGCTTCTATCCAGAAGTCTCTGGTGGCTTTGGGACTTTGAAGGCTTTGTGGGTCCTGGCCTCTGGTTTCTTCTGTGACAGTCCCTCCACTTGAACTACAGTGGCTGTTTCTCCAGCCTTTTAATTGAGGTTTGTACACTGCTGGCCTTGTAACCTTTCTGTTCCCACTTCTTACAGTACTTTTTGTCCAGAGATCTCTGTGACAGGGTCCCACACGTCATCCAGGTCTCTGCATCTCTCTTAAAACTTCTGGCCACCCTGTCTAAAACAGCAGCCCCCATCGTGCTCTGTTCCTTATTCAGCCTGATTTTTCTTCATAGCACTTGCATATTTTTAAATTGTTTTTATTTTAAATTGAATTTATTGGCACATTCTAGGTAGACAGTACAGTTACATTCATTACTGGGATCTTGTAACTTTACATGCCAGGTCTTGGTTCTCATTTTTTCCCCCTTGTCCCCACCCTCCCTTCACCCCACAAATAAGCTGTATGGGCTTGGGCATTTTGTCCCTTTTGCTCCCACTGTATCCCCAGCTGCTGAGATAGTCCCAGGTCCACAGTGCATTCAGAGCACTGGTTGTTTTATAGAATGAATACACAGAAGCCGTGGTCCTGGTGCAGGAGGTGGGAAGTGAAGTCATGATCAGCAGGGGACTTATGATAATGAAAAAGAGTGTCCTAATTTTCCACACATGGTTAGCATTGCTGGTTCCCCTAGTACCCTCATTTGGGGATGACTGTAAACAGGTGTCAGAAATCTTGTATACATTTCCCTGGGTTACAGATATGATGCTCTAACAAGGAAGGGCATGATTTTTCTTCTGATGCAAAATAACCAGGATGGGCTTCCAGCTCAGGCAATGACTAGTAATAGCATGGGTTCCATGTCCTACCCACTCCTACTCCCCAGACTTGCAAGTCACTCAGAGGAGAAGCTGTGCTTGTGCTGAAAAGTGCCTTCTGTGCTGTGGCTTTTTGATCCCCTAGGAAGATTTCCTTTGATAACTTTGCTTTAATGAGCTTTGTCCTCTGAGTGTCCTTAATCAGAGGTTTTCTGTTAGAGATTTGAAATTAATGCTATTTTAAGTGCATTTTTCTGTTGTTTTCCCCAGGATCTTCTATGTCTCTCATGATTCCCAAGACTTGAAGATCTTCAGCTATATCGCTCGAGATGGTGCCAGCAATATCTTCAGGTGTAATGTTTTCAAATCCAAGAAAAAGGTAAAGGGGCAGTCATCAGTCATCTGTTGTTTTCCTCTGATGGACGCAGTGCACCCCAGCATTGACCCTTTGAAGATTTGGAGGTGGATGTTTTAATGTCAGACACGGGGAACCATCTGAATAGTCCCTCATTGCAACTGTGTAAGGACATTCTCTTACAACTTTTACACCTCTATAGGGACATTCCTTCTCTGTCATTCCTCCAGGAGCCTCCAGGTAACTGGCATTTTGAGTACTACCTCCCTGGGGATTAAAACACCTAGGATTTAGTCCCACCTCTCCACTGGAATGCTGAAGGGTATTAAGCAGGTGACTACTCCACTATGCGTCTTGGCTTCTTTGTATATTAATGGGGAGGATAATCAAAATCAGCATTTCCTAAAATGTATTCTGTAAAATTTTTATCATCCAGAATTATTCATATTATTAAGTGTAATAAATCCATTACACATGTTTAAATAGCACATTGTCTCTCTGGCATAAGAAACTGAAAGTGGAAGTAAGAACTGAAATGTATAATAGATATTAGGAAATGGGAAGGAAATGTTCAAATGGGAAGGGAGGAGGGAGGGTAAAAGGAAGGAAGGAATATGAAAAAAAGTAAAAATAGAAGAACAAAATGTGAACAAAGCTTTTGTACATAGGGATAGGAGGGAATTTGGGGTAAATGAGATAAAATAAAATAAAATTTATTTAAAAAACAAAACAAAACACAACAAGACAGTTCATGTTAAAACTACCCTATTGAAGTTGCCAAGAAGTACTAAAGTTATAGAAACACTATTAACTTTGTTTAACCTTTTGTTTCTCAAGCTGATTTGGCTTTGGAACCATATTTTTTGCATGTAACATGTGATAACTTCCTGGAACAGTTTATCTGTAACTGAGATCTTAGAAAGCAGTATGTTGATGCCTCTAACAGCCCTTACAGGCCTACTGTTCTAGAGATCAACTTCCACGTTAGCTTTCTGTGAGGACCACCATCCTGCTTCCTGTATACTCCTCCTTTGATCCTATGTGACATCTTACGCCTTCAGGCATCTTTAACAAATTTATAGATATCTTGACATTGTCAGATGGGGATAATAATAATGCATGACAGGGTCAAGATTTACTAATGTAGATGTTCCTTGATTTCTGGTAGAATTCTGTCCTAATAAACCCATCCTAAATTGAAAACGCATTTAATAATACACACAATCTTTGGATCACCACAGCTTAGTGAAATAGTATACTGTACATGTCAGTTATTTCCCCTCTGGCCATGCGGCTGATGGGGCTGTGGCTTTTGGCCTCTGCTCAGCATGTTGAGAGTATGGTACCGCCTATCACTAGCTTGGAAAGAGATCAAAATTGAGGATTCCAAATATAACTTCCACTGAATGCATACGGCTCTTGTACTATCAAATAGAACCATCATACACTTGCCTGTATATGTGTCACATTTCCTACTCTGATTCCACAGAGAATTCTGCCTCTTCCTTTAAGGATATTTGTGTCCTTACCTATCCTGTTCTCAGACTTTTTATTTTGATCATTTTTATTTATTTTGTAGTGCTAGGGATTGAACCGAGGGCCTCTTGTATGCTCTAGGCAAGTGGTCTATTACTGAGCTATGTCCCTAGCCTTCAGGCTTTTGGAATGCAAATCACGGAATTGGATGAAAAAGGTTAGAAGTAGACAGATAAGAGGAAAAAGGTAAGTTGCCATACTTCACTTCTAGATAATAGTACAACTGAGAGAAAAAAAATGTAAGGCCAGTTAGAGCTGAACATTAAACTGATAGAAATGCAAACAGGAGGAGAGGGAGAAAGAAGAGTCATAGGAACTGGAGGTGTCAGAATTTGGGGCTTAGGGGAGTGAAAGGCTCTTACATGTCTGAAGTATAGGAGATCTGGGGAGGAGAGAAAAGGACAAACAAAATGATCCTGCGAGTTATAGATTGGATCATCTGTAATGTTCTTTAACAGTGCAACCAAACACTAAAATTTTCTTAATTCATTTTGAGTCCTTGACTGTGCTTCTGACTTTAGTTTTGTATATAGACCAGTCCATGTAAACTTTGGAATTTACTAGAGTCACAAGTAACACATAATCATTTACCAAGTATTTTAATATTTAATCTAATTTTATCTTTATAATACATGTGTAAAGAAGGTAAGACAGATAATTTTCATCTCTGGTTTATAGATTAGTAGAGTAAGGCTCAAAGAGATAAATGACTTGCCAAGTTCCCACAAAGAGGCACTGGCTAGATCCAGGGATACATGCAGAACAAAAGAATTTTGAGGAGGGAAACTAAGAAAAGGAGACCACTGTATTAACTTTGCCATCAGATCTAGTGTAACCATCAGGCCCAGTGGAGGCCTGCTGTTCTTCCCAAAACCCAAGTCTAAGGACATTGCCCACCTAGATGTTTAACTTAGAAGTGAAGCCCAGAATTAAGTTACTGTTGCCTGCTGAAAAGGAATAGCCATCTAGTTTCCTATCGCATCGGATTTTTTTTCCCACACTTCATAGCTCTCAGCTACCTGGGATCTCTGGCTCTTCTATTTTCTGTATTCCTTTTGCCCTCACCTACTGAAACTGTGATTCCTCACAGAGCTGGTTCTCAGGCCTGGTGTTGGCCTGAGGCCATGAAGCCAAGGGAATTTTTTTCCAAATAACTGCAAGCTCTACTATAGGTGGGAGGGTGAGTTTCCAAGCTGAGAAAGAAATGAATTGTTCAGCAAAGGAAGCAGAATGGAAGAGGGGTGGGGAACACATCTGTGAGGTTTTGCACACCATCCTGGTTAGTCTCCAAATATAATGATTTACTCTGTTGTAAAACACTTCTGGTTTTGGGAGATAATAGTTAGCTTGGAAATGAGTTTTAATTGCCTGTCATAGGAATTTTCAAGAGGTGAGGGGGAAAGGACTGGTGACCCCAAGGAAATCTATCTTGCGGGGATGCTTCTGTGCTGTCAGAGGTCACAGCAAGACTTCTTGACAGGGAGCCAGAAGATCTGGATGTTCTCCAGAGCCCTCATCTTTGATGGTATTGTAGAAAACTTTGTATAACTTCCTCGCTGCTCCATAGATCTGGCCATTGCTGCTTCGTATCACACTGTCCCTGTGGTGTATTTCTCATGAAGGCCTCTGCTATGAGTGTCCTTACCCCACAGTTCACCGTGGGCCAACGGGTTGTCACTAGGCTCTTAGCTTTCCCACTGGAAGGTGCCCTGCACCTTGCTCTGAGCACAGATATTATTCTGTACACATGGATCTTCCTCTTGGCCACTCACATGGGCAGCCAGTCTGGTTCCCATCCTGGGGACTTTAATCTTGAACTGGCTTTTTCTAGTTGGGCTCACACCAGAAACTGGATAGCAGGAAATTGCCAGAAGTTAACGTGCTACCCCTTATCCTTCTACTACTCTAAATATATGAATTATCTTATTTTGTTCCCATAATGGCTATGCAGGGTAGGAACTGTTATGCTCTTCATTTTGTAGATGGGAAAATGGAGCCTTAAGGTAAGTAACTTGTGTAAAGACTCATGATAAGTAACACAATCTGAACCAAATCCAGAAGTCTGACTTTAGAGTGCACACATGCGCGCACACGCATATACACTTTTTTTTTTTCTTCAGTACTGGGGATTGAACCCAGGGGCTTTGCATTAAGCTACATCCTTGTCGTTTTTAAAAAATCTTTTTATTTTGAGACAGGTCCTGGTTAAGTCATTAAGTTGCTCAGGCTGGGCTTGAATTTATAATCCTCCTGCCTCAGCCTCCCAGAAAGCTGAGACTGCAGGCCTGCTCCCAGCCCAGCTAGAGCTCACACTTAACCGCTCTATTATTCCACTATCCTTGGCTCAGGAATTACATTCCCTGAGACGTAATCTGGTTCCCCAAGAATTTGTAACTGCGTTGTACTGTGGTCATTACTTGGGAATGGACAGCTCCTTCACCCTGAATGGTCTAAATCACTTGGACACAGATGTTCCTCTTGTCTCATGGTCTCCTTGTATGGTAACGTTGACTCCATTTTATATTTGATTACTATTGGCCCCACAGTGATACCACTCATATCACTGAGATTAGAATTCTAGCCCAGGGCTTTGGCCCCTGAAACTTGTTAAGAAAAGACACATAGGCCTGTGGGCTTTAGTTTCTTCAGCTGTCAAATAAGGTGTAGCGTATTTAGGAACTCTGATTGCTGAGTGTAAAGGGTTCTGATCTTTAAGGAGCAAGTTCTGTATGACTGGGCAGGACTGCCAGGATGGTGGTGAAGGGATCCCGGCACTCACCAGGGTATTACTAGGGCTGACCATGGGTCTTTTCCTCAGAGGAGCAATCAGTGAAACTTTTCCTAATGACAAGGGCATTCCTTGTCTCTCCTCCTGGGGGAAATCCAATGATAGTATTCATATGCAAGGCTTTTTGCTTCTTGAGGAGCCTCTTGGCTGGTCTCTTGACTTGTCCTGTGGAGCAGATGTCCCCCTCTTGTCATTTTCTCCCAGCCCCAGGAGGATATGGCTGTCTGCCTTGATTAAGAGTGACTGTACTTATTAGTGCATCCATGCATGAAGTGTTGGTGATTAACACATGCAGCAGGAATGTCCCTGTTATCTTCATGGACAACTCCTTGAAATCATTTTGCCTGCAGTCACAGCTCAATTGCTTTGGGTTAGGAAAAGTCATTTCCTCCAGTAGTGGTCTCACCATCTAATTGGGGGTCATGACTGTGAAATTTAACTGTTAGAGTTAGCAGTAGATTTTGAATGATAATGTCAGCCAAGTGCTAAAGAGTAAGTCACTTAGCTGGTGAAATTTAAGCGATGAACTCTAGATAGGTTCTACATTTAGGGCAAGAGACTATTTTTTATACTTCAAGTGTCTGTGTGGGTTTGGGTTGCGAAGTAAAAAATACAGAAATCATAGGTCTCTGAGCTCATCTGGCCTAAACCTCTCTCATCACTTTATAGACCATGGATGAAATCCGTACCTGGGAAGGTG